TCTTGATACATGCTTAAGATGGAAAAACTAAAAAAGGAGAAATGATAAATTTGGTCTTGAATTTTTCATTGGGAGTCAGTGAGGAAGGTTATAAAATCTCGCCAAGCCAGAGTGGGAAGAGCTTGCTTTATCCAGGTAAGGAAAGGAATACTCTCAATTGTATGCTGCTATTCATATGATCAATAGCATACATAAGCTATGACAAGGTGWCCTTCTTAGTGGATGAGAGAAATGCTGTGGATGGGTGGAAAAGCTGTCAGGATGGCTGGGCTCAGAGAGTGGTGATGAATGGAGTTAAATCCAGCTGGTGCCCAGTCACAAGTGGTGTTCCCCAGGGCTCAGCGCTGGGGCCAGTTGTGTTYCATATCTTTGTCAATGATCTGGATGAGGGGATTGAGAGCATCCTCAGCCAGTTTGCAGATGACACCAAGCTGGGTGGGARAGTTGGTCTGCTGGAGGGTAGRAATGCTCTACAAAGGGATCTGGACAGGTTGGATTGCTGGGCTGAGACCAGCTGTATAGATTCAATAAGGTAAAGTGCCAGGCCCTGTATTTGGGTCACAACAACCCCAGGCATCACTACAGGCTGGGGCAGAGTGGCTGGAAAACKGCCTGGTGTAAAAGGACCTGTGGGTGCCGGTCAATAGTGGCTAAATGTGAGCCAGCAGCGTGCCCAGGTGGCCRAGAAAGCCAATGGCATCCTATTCTGTGTCAGCAAGAGCGTGGCCACCAGGACTGAGGCAGTGATTGTCCCTCTGTACTTGGCACTGGTGAGGCCACRCCTTAAGTCCTGTGCTGAGTTCTGGACCATTCACTACAAGAGACACTGAGAGGCTGGAGAGACTCCAGAGAWGGGYAATGGAGCTGGGGAAGGGTCTGGAGCACMAGTCTGATGAGGAGCAGCTAAGGGAGCTGGGGGTGTTTAGCCTGGAGAAAAGGARGTTCAGGGGAGACCTTATATTYCTCTATGACTACCTGGCTGTAGCCAGGTGGGGAACGGTCCTGGCACAGGACAGGAGGAAATGGCCTCAAGTTGTGCTAGGGAGGTTTAGATTGGATGCAAAATTTTGTCATGGAAAAGGTTGTCAAGCCCTGGAACAGATTGCCCAGGGWGGTGGTTGAGTCACCATCCCTGAAGGTRTTTAAAAGGTCTGTGCATGTKGCACTCAGGGCCATGGTTTAGTGATGGACTCAGCAGTGCTGGGTTAATGGTTGGACTTGRTGATCATAGARGTCTATTCCAACCTAAACAATTSTATGATTTTGTAGTTKTAATTAGTCAGTTGTAATTGTTTGGAAACTTTTCRTGTTGTGGGGAGCACTTCTACAAGTTTGTGTTATCAATACACAAAGAAAAATTTGCTGAAATGAATTTGTGAAGAATTTTTTAAAATAGGAAGCTTGCAGGAAAACTGTCATTTTCTTGCCAGAACACAAATTGAAGGGCAAAAAACAAAAGGGTTATATCATTAATTTTTCCTAGTTTATCTAGATTGTCAGATTTTGTATTCTTTTTAGCTTTTACAATGGAGTAAATAGAATAAACAACTGTTGTTGTGTTGTCCTTTTGGTTGAAGTTCAATATTAATAATGCTGTATGGCAAAATATCAATGAGTAATTTAAAAAAATGTTTTTCTTTCTTCCAGTGTAGGAGCTCCATATTTAAAGTCAAATTTACCTTATCCTACATCTGCTTTCCCCATGTTTTCAAATTCATGATAAAAAGTAGACGAGGCCCATCAGCTTTCTGAGGTGTATTCTGGCTGTCCCAATGTAACATGTCTCAATTGCATAAATACATTTTGTAATCTTTTGCTCTGTTGCTTGCACAATGTGGATTAAGTTAATTATTTATAGCTTGTCAGGGCAGCTGTTAAGTGTCCTGTGCAATGCAGGAGAAGCTGTATTGAATAGAAAACATCCTACTGTGCCTTGCCAGTCTGCGTAGGGCCATAAAACTTTTTAAGTGATAGATGAAATAATTTAGTGATCTATTATATTTGTCCCATCAAATAATTTTTCTTTGCTCGCTTTTTTTTTTCTTTAAATTTAATTTATTTTCCTGTAGAAGTGTCTCTGGTCTTCCCTGGCCACTTCTCTTTCTGGCCCCTGGTTGTTTCAGGTTTTGATGCCTATATTTCCTACAGGGAAATAATATTTCTCTCTCATGGCCCTTCTAGGAAGAGCAGACGCTCCCAGAGCAGACAGTTGAGCTCACGTCAAGTTGGAAAGAGCAGCCACTGGACTGAGGTAGGGACAGGAGACCCTGAGGATCCACGGAGTGTTGGTCCTTGCTCACCATCATCATTTATACAAACAGTGAGATGTCTGGGCTTTTTGCAGGTCCTCTCTTCCTCTTATGCTTCCTTTTCAGAAGGTTCGCTGCATTTAAGGTGATCTGCACCAAGTGTTATCCTGGAGCAGTGACAGTGATCCATATCCCAGTGCTGGTGTCCTGCTGCAGGGTGTGGGGTGACCAGAGCAGGGCAGGCACGAGAAATACCCTGCAGGTGCCCCTTTGGCCATCTCTGCCTGCCCTCAGTGGGAGCAGGGCCCAGGCACTGTCTGCCAGGCCCTTGACCTCCCCCACAGTCCTGCTGCTGACCTCTCCAGCTGACCAGCGCTGTGATCCTCTCCCTCTCCTCACCCAATAAGGGCCTGCTTTTTGTTAAGTARCTGCTGAGTCAGGCTTTTCACAAATAAGCAGACCCTGACCATGAAAGTTCTAAAATTGTTTTTCCCTTTYATCTATCCTGAACATTGTGTCACCTTTCTGCATCCAAACTTCCCCTGACGTCAATGTAGGTAAGGGATCAGGGACGATTATGTTTTTCTCTTTCAAGAAACCCTGACATGAAACTGGTCAGGTTAACAAACCTGAGAAACTCAAAGTGTGGGAAAATATAAAATCAAAGAACCAATAGTGTCCCAAAACTGGTGGGTACTTTATTTTATCTATGGGTATTCCTTTATTAGTTGTTTTATTATAAAAAAGAAATTCTTCTGCTAGATAKTTTTTCCTGAGGTACAAGAACGAGATGTGAATAGCTGTAAATGGAACCATTCCTTTTATATCTTAGGAGTCTGAAGCACTACTCTAGTTGAGAGTCTGCACTCATTAGAACTGTTTGACCAAATAAGATGTAACAGACATGGTGGAATTGTGATAAGAGAATATGCTTTTAACTCTCTAAGCTCTCCTGCTTTTGGAAATTCACTGGATTATGCGTTGTGTAATAAGCTACTTGATAGTAGTTTCTTCTTCCAGAAAACAAAACAAAAACACTCTTCCAGGAAAATTGGTGGTGCTTTTGTAGTTCTTCAAGCTTATGTTGTTTTCGTGTCTCTCAGGTCAGCRTGGAAAAACAGTCTAATATGTTTACTTCTGCTTAATTGATCTTACTTTGGCTTTACATCAATTTTTTGTGGGGCATCAGTCCTGGGAACTGTAAACAAAGTGAAGATACGTRCATGTTATGTTTCAGTCACGAGGGTACTGGTTCTGGGTTTAGATTCTAGTCTCAGTGAAAACAGTGGGTGGTTTCTCACTAGGTGGAGTTATTCAGAAAACATTTGATGTTTATTTAACTTCTCTCCCACTGAGTRTAGTGAGAAAGGAGCTCAGCACTGAGTACTCCTGAACATTTCACCCTTGGTGTCATCACTATTTGTCCTGCTGTCTGGTCAGGTTGTCCAGCTTTTGGACTGCAGTAATTTCCTTTCTAAGATGAAACTAGCTTTTTTAACCACATAAAGTTGATTAGTGTAAAAAGGCTGGTTTTCAAGGAATATTCCTTTTAGAAGGWTGTCTTTGCACACTTTAAAGGATATAAAAGCTTGATATAAAATAAGAATGTCTTTTTTTTTTTGGTCCAAATATTGATTCTATTCATAGAAAAGTTGAGATTACTCAATACATGACTCCAGGAAATGGATCAAAGTAGGGGTTTGAAGGCTAGCTTAGTTAAGGTCTTCATTCTGTAAAGGAAGAGGCAAATCTAAGGAATGGAACCTGTCTTTGAAAAATAAAATACAGCTTCTGGAACAGTGTCTAGAGAAAATCTGGCTACCATCACATTTTGCTCTTTCTAAAGCAATAATCATTACATCTCTAACTGTCTGCCTCTCCTCGATCTTATGGCTCTTCTGCTAGTTTGTGGTTTTTTCCCCCTATTCTGCAGTCTAAAGTGGAAATGGTAGAGCAGAAAATAACAGACTGGGGCCTTGTTCCTCAGCTTTGCTCACCATCACCATAAACGTGGCTGACAGCAATAACCTCCTGAACTAAGGAGATTATATGGGAGCAAGTAAAATCCAGGAACACATGAAAATATTAGCTGACCAGTGCAATAGATCAAATCACTAAAATTAAGATCTGGTTTTCTGCCATGCACAGCTGTGATACGGGATKATGTGATGATGGGAAAAAAGAGGCTATTTCAGATGACACTGAAGTTCCTCAGGAACTGGATATTTGGTATCAGTTTGCTTGGTGTTGATGATGCTGGAATCCTGTCAGGTTTTCAGCTCAGTGCTGGTTATTGTTTTCATATTTGTGCTTAATATTCTGTAAGGCATAGATTATGCAGGAGATTGAATGTTACAGGCTCCACACTAGTCCCATCTAAAAGCTATTATCTGCTGCAGTAATTATCACTGTAAAAATAGTAAGAAAAGAACTAGGTCTTTCCTCTGGGCTATCTTAGCCTGTTCTTTTTTTTTTTTTTTTTYTTCTGAAGCTTTTGTTGTAGATCACAAGCTTTATGACACAGAAATTCAAATATCTCCCTTGTATCTGAAGTATTCTATTGTGGTGATAAACCCAATGATATTATAGGACCACTGCTGCAGCGTCTCTGGAACAGAAATGTTCTTATGCATGTAATCCAATTAGGATTGGAGCCATTATGGTTTTCAAGGGGAGATGGATTTGAATTCCACTCCTCTGTGTTTTTGTTTTTTATGGAATAGTTTATACTTCGTCCAAGGTAATAGAACCTTTTTTTTTTGTTTTGAGTTGTCTTTAATAAAGCGAGTAATGCTGGCTCCTTTAACCACTCGAGCTGCTCTTCTAGAAATGATTTATCTCCTGGAGGGATCACTGAAAAACCATTGCAAAGAAATCGTGGTTTACTTAGCAGAAGCCAGACAGGTGTGATTGGAAATTTCTGTATTGCTATCAAAAGAGATAACAGAGCAGGAAACAACTAGCAGTTTTCTTCTGCAGTCCCAACCCTGTTAACCATTAGGACACAGTTTATCTTGTCTTGGGAAAAGTAACTTTGAGAATTTCTGTATACAGACATCTTTATCTTACCCTTTCACCCTTTTCTCAGGTATTTCTCTAATCTGTTTGGTTAAAGCCCATCTTGTCATCTTAATTTAACAAGGTTGTTAATCATGTTTACATCAAGTTATACATCCATCAGCATTCTCCAGAAAGTACAGGTATATCTGTACTCTAGTTGTCTTCATTAGTCATGCTGGGTATTTTATTGCATCAGCCTRTAATTAATTTCTCAGTAAATATCAAAATTTCACAGTGCCTGCTTGAATGCTGCAAAGTAACCTCCTGCCAGCCAGTGAAAACTATCAGTTCTACCTTTTGTTCTCAGATATATAATAATGTTGGATATGAAATGACAGTGGAGGAAACCATTTTTATTAGACAAGGAAGCCAATTCAGAAGGTGGACGAAAATTTTGTGATATTTGTCAGGTGTTACAAACGGCAATCATGGTAAAGGATCAGAAATATGTGAGATCTGCAACTGCATCATGCAAATATTTGAAGAAGCACAATGGAAATAATAATCTCTCTTTTAACTGTTTTCTACTTGAACAGTTGAAAAGTGTACTTAACTTATTCTTCGTGAATTAGAAAGCTTCAGGAATGATGGTATAAGACTTCTGATCAGTGCCCTTAAATGTTCATACTTGGGCATAAAGTCTATCACTGAAAACAACAAGTWTGACCATGAGGTAGTCCTGTTTGAAAATAATCCAGGGTAATTAAAAATATGTCTTCTAAGTAGTCAGGGATTCAAAGACACATTTAAGATCTACATCATTACAGGCTTTCTACATACAAGGCTTGCTTCCCTGTCCATTCTTAATAAACTAAATTTGACACTATTAAGGCACTTTTACTTCCAGTTGAGACTGTAAGATACCAGGAACATGACTTAAGAAAATCTGTCTTGTGGACATTAGGTAGGATTGGAGGGGAAGCAMAGGACTTGAAGTAATTTAAATTTCAACTTGTGCCTTATGTGGTTAAGATATTATCCAGTTTGTAGTCTGCTCAATTTTCATTTTTTAAGCAGTTCATGTTTCTTTCATGCATTGCTTCTCTTGGAAGGGCATTCCTCAATGTTACYGCTATATAATGCTTATGGCTTTTCTAATTTTCACCTTAAATGATGCATGCTGGGTTTATAGCAACTGCTCTTGAGCCAGAACTGTCTTTTTCTTTCCTGCCTGATGTTTATTGTCTGTTACTGTTGCTTGGTGGAAAATAATTTAGAACAAATTTGTTTTGAAGAGAAGTCAAGAGAGTCTGGGGGATACAAGCTGACCATGATGGCTGCAGTTTGAGACAACTGGCCTGTTTCAGTGATGATGCTGGCATCTGCTCTCCTGCACTCTGGTAATAACAAAACTCTTCTGAAAGTCTCTGTGGGTCTGGCTTGCCACACTTGTCTAGTTTAGATAAGYCATCTTAATGGCAGAAGCTAGTTGGGAGCTAGCAGGAAATCAGTACGAGGTACTAAGATGTGCAGGTCTCTGTTCAGGCAGGTTCTGTGGAGAGAGKCAGTCTTTTCCTTAGACAGATTTATGTAGTTGGAAGATGCTTACAAGCTTTTGGCATGCAAATCCCTCCTAGACAGAGCAGTCAGATGTTGGGCAGATTCAGGAAACCTTTTTGTTCTTCTGTTAGCAGAAGCAGCTGTGGAGGATTTCYTGTMTTTTGAACAAACTGYCCATCAAAATACTGCATTCTGAAAYGAGAAAAGAATTACCAGYGAGATACACAGGGCAGCCAGAGGATTTGTGCAGTTGCCCAAGCAGGTTTAGGACAGTATATGAAATAGAAATGTACTTCATATAGCTGGTATCAGAATTTTGACAAGTAGCCACATGCTAGACTACATCCAGTGTATAGACAAGAGGAAAATAGATATTACCATCTCCCAAACAAAATTAGTTCATTCTTTCACAGGGGCAGAACAAAACAAGCAAGGCAGACCTCTGAGTAGAACTCTCTCCTATGAAGAAAAGCAGTGGAAAATTAGCCACGGGAACCAGTTTTCACTTAGTTAATCTCACCCAGAAGCTCCTACTTGCCTGTGCAGGGATCTTGGTATATATGGTATTATTAGATGCCAGAGGCAGTGCTCTAGCAGCTGTTCAGAAGGATGAAGAGCCCTGTGGGTTTGTTGCAGCTGCTTCCATGCCCTCTCCTCCTTGGAACACTCACTGGAGACAATRCTTCCACCTGTGGCAGGGGCAACAGTAAACTCTGCCTCCTTCTGGGACAGAGAGATAAAGCTGAAATACAGAAAATGCTCCTAAAATGGCAACAGATGAAGAGAAAGAAAGRTCAAGAAGAAGGTATGGTTTTACTGAGTTGGGATATCAGGACAGGTATATGAAGTCTGTCTCACATTACCTGGAAGCAGGTAAGAAACAACTGATAGGTGTCAAGTTTTGGTGTTCCTGAAGACATGGAACACAACTCTGCTTGAAAAGAAGTCAAATTTCAGGTCAAATATCTGAAACATCTTTTGGTCAAGTATCTGAAACATCCTTTTGAGCTAGGTAATGGAAGAAAAATGGAATGAATTGAAACAAGTCTTTCTTTGCTAATTGTTTTGAAGAATTGTGACAATGAGGACTCCTCAGCTGAAAGTTGAATTAGCTAACTTTGTTCTTTTCTTGCTCTCATATGAAGACAGGTGGTAAGACAAAGAAAATAACTATAATTAAACTCCACCCATCTTCAAAAGTGGGTGAAGAGATGATAATTCATGCAATAAATCCATACAATTAGACAATATTTGGACAATTAGATGCTGAACACTGAATGATTWGTGATTCATGAATAATGAGCTAGTATCCACTCACAAACCTCAATGAGGAAATCAAATTTATGTTTGCTTTGTGATGATGATCTTTCCCAAACCTCTATCTGTAACCAGAAAGGAATTTAGACACCTCATAAGAAAGCGCTTGAGCATGATTTTTTTTTTTTAATTTTTGAGAAATGCCTTTGAAAAAATGTGCAGTACTCTACTTTCATAATCATGTAGCAATTTTATGTGGAGATTTTTTTTGGGTTTTGGTGTTTAGTTGGATTTTCTTTGGTGGTGTTTGGAGGTGGGGTTTGTTATTGCAGATTATTAGGTTTACTGTCTGTGCWAGGATCTCCAAGAGGTTTTGTTTCTTTGAGCTCTTTTTGGAGACTTTGACTACATAGTAAAGTATGAATGCCCCTATCCAGTAAGATAAAAGGTCCACTTCTTTCAGGAGCCTTCAGCAGTGGTTGATTTGGCTTATGCTAAAGGGAGAACAGACATCCTCAGAGGACAYACTCTGTCTTTACGCTTCATCTGTAATCATTACTGTATAATTTGTTTTTTTTTTTTAAACACACACAGAGAACACTCAGAACAAAAACCGCGACAACCAACAGTTGATGCCCTAAAAAGGGATTTTTAAGAAGTAAGGGATGGCATGTAAAGCTCCAGTTAACCTTGTATGGTCTCATAGCTGACCCTGGTAACAAGCTGGAGATCACTTGAGATGCCTGAAGAGTGTCCAGTGTGTGCTCCCTCAAAGGACTCACCTGCCAGCAGAAGAGGGATCACCAGAACTCAAACAAACAGGTTATTCCCACTTCAGGGGAAAGATGCTGTCCACAATGATTTAGCAACAGTGRCCCCTACCAGYGGGGTGGTGGGCAYACAGAGTTTGCAGACACWGGAGGTATYGCATTAAAGYWCTGACTTGGSATGCTGTTTTCTTTTGTATTTGCTTTACAAACTGGTCCTYATAAATCCCTTCACAGAATTCTCTTCAGAGCCACCTGTACTTCCTTCTCTCCTGTTTCCTGGAAGCAAAATGTAAGTACAGAGCAACAAATCTTACTACTGTTTGTTTTAAATCTTCTCCTTTATTTCCTCTGGCATTGTTTTCTTGTTGCACTTTTGTGCACATACCTAATGCTGGTAGTAAAMTCCTTGGGCAGGAGTGGTGTTTCTATAAATTTCACTGCATTTATTGAGCTGCACAACAGATTATTATTATCATGATTACAACAGCCAGGTTTGCAGGATTAACCAGTCAGAATGAGGAAAGTCAGCTGCTTTTTAAAATAYATATATTCTTGACTAATATCAGCTGCTTTCTGAGCTCTTTAGTAACTGAATGAGACTACAAGGAATTTTTAATTTTTAAAACATTCCCATCTCAGAGTTATGAAAGGGCAAAGGGATGATTTCTAAAATGGGAAACCTTCTAGATTTTATCCGACTGGTAAATCAGAATACTTTGTCTCATAACTAATTCTTGATTGAAGAAAGTTTTCCATTTTAAGCTCACTTAAGGGAGTTCTGTGTTGAGGGTTTTATGGGTTGGGGTTTTTTTAGCTTTGACTTTCATTTCTGTGATTTCTGGTAATCATCTGTTCTGTTTGAGGAGGGATTTCAAARAATGGACAAGACATTTTAATAGCACAAGCTCTCACATTCCAGAGTTATTTAAAACACTAGGAAAATTCCTGTTCTCTGTCTTTGTTCTCTGCCTTTGAAATGGGTATAGTAATAGACYACTCCATCAGGGTGGTGAGAGAATGAGTGAATTTGGTATTGTGTGATCAATCACTCTGTTGAGATGAAATCTGAAGTTTTAAATTACCATGTAATCTACATATAGAGATCATTATTATGGTTATATTTATGTTTATTTTTATTTTATGTTTCCAGTAGGTTGATGAATCAAAAATAAACCATGTAATGGAATATCAYAAGGTGCTGTTTACTGATTTAGCAGAAAGGGATAGTTTACCTATAATATTATCACCAAGGCTAGGCAAAAATTTGAATATGGACTTCCTTAAAAAAGAGATGACATGACTGCAAGTGTTTTTTAAACCTAAGAAATGCATCATGCATCATGGAAAACACAGATTAGCAAACTAAACAAGTTTGATTTTGGTGTTAATGCTGTAATGGCTGGTTGCTTTAAGATTGCTGTAATAACATGTTACTTGTGGTTATGAGTAATAATTGTTATTTAAAATATTACAAAACTATTAATGAGTACTAACCCTGTGTACACTCATTTTGAGATTGAAGCTGCTACGTGAGGGTAGTGCTTGTGTAAATTTTGCATGTAAATATAAAGCAACAGGGCTGAAGATTAYTTGGAAAAGAAGTGTTTTTCTCATACTCTGATATTGCAAAGTGGGAGGTGCCAGACAATAGGTGTCAGCACTGGTTCAGCTATGCACAACTTCACTGCAAATGTAGATTAAGGCAGTTGCTGTTAAGCACAAGTTGGCTGTGAACTGTACTTTCAGCAAATTGAAATGCCTGTAAAGAAGTGCTGAAACAGTGTTTGACACTTGTTATAAAGTAGCTTTTCTAGGGTGTATAGTCTGGGAAACAGAACAAAAGAGACCCAAGATAAAAGTTGGTGAAAATATGTATGTATTGTGCTTACTGTGAAATGTTTCCATAAGGATAGACCGTTTCTGAAAATTGTAACTTAATTAGGTTTTGTTGTTTCATGAATTATTCAGAGAAGTTGCTGAGAGGAAGGCTTTGATATAGTGCTTTCCCAGGGATTTTAAAGAAATAATAAAAAAACCTAATCAAAACTAATTGAAACTGAGGAAGGAAAGCAAAATCACAAGAATCAGAATGGAGCAGATAGGATAAGGTACAGTGCTAGGAAACTTCCATGGGACTTTGGAACTGTGCTGTTTTGTGGTGGAATTTTAAACTGTAACTAGGTGTTTAGATATCTTGTTCATTAAACCAATGGATGTCATATGTAGGAGCCTGTGGATGATTCTGCAACACCTTTGGAAGAAAAACCAGGAAGACTTAATGTAAAATGTGTGACTGTGTAATGGAGAAGCCGGAAGAAAACACTAMCAAAGAAATGGAAGAAAAAAAATTCTTGGTTTTCCTCTATGTTTTACCAGCAGCATTCACCTAGGAACCAGCATGTGAGGATTAAGCCAAGAAAGGTAAGACTAAATGCTTTAAGAACCCAATATAAATGTTATGGTCTTAGCCCAGCATCTCGAAAGAGGTGCTGGATCAGTGCCAGTTCTCTAGAATTGCTTTTATGTGGACAAAGACATACCTGCTTAAATTACGTCCTCCCAGGTACTAGGTAGTGTAGCTTTAAAACTGTTGGGTGAAATAGCCTTGCAGTCAGTCCACAGCAGATGTACACATATCAAGGTGCTTTTGAAATAAGCAGATGCTGTCATTAGAGACCTCTGTGTGGTGAATGCCAGGTGGATGGCTGTGCAGAGAGTGAGGGAAACAGCTTTTTCTTGTCAATATTTGGTGAGGGATAGTTGGGAGAATGCCCCCTCCCACCCTGAAGTTTGCATTGCATTGCAAAATCCAATGCATTCCTTGCTAGCAGCCGTGTCAGTGGCACACTGCGAGTGCCCCAAGGCTGGCAGGATAATCTAAAGGGAATGCAGCTGAATTGTGATCCACTGCTATATAAAAGGGGGCGGGTCACTCTGCTYGTTCCGGCTCCCTTTCTGTCATTAGGGCTGTAGAAGCACCAACCAAAGGCAGCTGGCACGCCTCTTCATTGCCTCTTATATAATATGGGGTTGCACAGGGCACTGATGTAGAAATAAAGTCAAACATTCTTGAGGCAGACTCGTATTRCTTGTGGTGTGGCTGGTGCTCGCTTCGCTGTGGGGAATAGGGCTGCTCCCACCACGGTGGTCTGTGCTCCTGTTTGAGTGAAGTTTGGAAGGTGTGCAGGATGGCTCCAAACGAGGCAGGGGATGAACTTGTTTTCTTTGTGAATGGTAAAAAGGTAAGGAAGATTCCAGCTTTCTGTCCAGCCTGCTCCTGGATTGTGGCTGGATTACTTTTCTAGTCATCTTTTTCCTCCTCTGAAGTTTCCTGATACAAGCACATATTCCATGGCTTTTAAATATTAAATTGTGMAGACTACATATTGCTTTGCTAAGTGGCTTTTTCTCTTCTTTGACCTAACCTAGTGAATTTTTCAAGGAGTAACACAATTATATAATGTTCCTTTTACATTTTAGATTTGTTAGCAATAATTTACTGCAGTTCTGAGGCAGCTACTTTTTAATAAGTGTGCACTGCTTAATACAGTCTTTTCTACTGGATATAATTTCAGTAATTACAACAGATCTGGAAAATTTAACTCAAATGTAAGCATCTGTATATAATTTATATGTTCAATAAGTAATTCTAACATCAGGTTTTTGAAAGGGATTTAGTGAGGTGTTTATTCCGTTTCCATTTGAGAAGCTAGCAAACTCTTCAGAATCAAAGCCCATTAACTGGCATGGATTCCTAGATCAGCTGCTGATGATAACCTAAGAAGGGTTGTGTTTCACAGAAAACTGGGGTGCTCGTTGCACTTGATGGACACAGTAGAACAGTCTGTCCCAGAGCCCCCTTTCCTCAATTTGGACTTTTTCTGGCCTAGCAATGCAGCCTTGCCTCCTCAAAAGCTTGTACCAAGTCAAAGCTGACTCTTTCTTTGACCAATGATTACCAATTAATTCTGTTTCTGAGCTCAGGTCAGAGCTGCCTTCCCCATCTTCCCCTTGCCTAGATACTTGGGCAAGGGAACTTGTGCCAAAGCAGCTTCCTGCTGGGAAACCTGGGGAGGGGAGAGGGTGGCATATCCACTGGTGTGSACCCAAGAGTTKGCAAACCTTCCCTGTGCACTGCTTAYGGGTAAATCCTATGGTGCASTGAGGTTGGGCTAGGAAAWTAATTTTTTAATTAATTAATTTTTTAATCCCTTGAGGGACACAATACTCTCATTTGGTTAAAAAACTCTGTACCCTGCCTTACAGACTGGCACAGGATTACTATCCCTTTTGCATTTGTTGGTCTTTCATGCTAGTTTAACCAAGTGTAAATGTGGATGAGAATGTTGTTACAATGAGGGGTTTTAGTTAAGAATTTGGATCCCAAACTAGATAGGAATTAGAACTTTCTGAGGTGCCAGTGGATTTGATATTATGTTTTGTTTTATTGAAGTATCAGTAGTTTACTGAAGAATGAAGTTTGTCTAGTATACATTAAAAGAGCCATTGAATGGAACACGGATGTAGAGCYCAGGCTTGGTTCTGAGGTTTTATAGACAACTGAAGCTTTGCTCACACAGATTAGTAGTGTTTCATGTGTCAGTGTTAATCAACATATCAGCTGTTCATTGTTTCTAGAGGGAGATGAAAACTTGATGCTCCAAGTTAATTGTGACTAGCTAATTGAGTCTGGTAATCGAGATTATGGCACAGCATRCTTTGTGAATTTAATCCGATGAATTTTCTGCTGTGGTGGGCACAGGTGGCACATCATTAACTTGCTGTCTTCTTGCTCTGGGAAGTTTTAGGGAGATCCCTCCTTTGTGGCCYTCAGTTT